GATCTTGTACTGTCTCGTTTAGTTTATCTTTTCTCCGTATTTGTGTTGTTATGGCTACTGAGTCACCTGTAACGGATTACTTTACACGGTGGGGTTGTTGATTCTATCACTCTATGCACTGTGATTTGACTAGAATTATTTTTCTTGACTTTGTGACTGAGTAATAGTTATGTGTGTTGATGTTTACTGAAGTGCAAACCCTCGGCGAACTGCGCATGCGCGGTACCACTAAATTGATGGGCTAGGCTTTTTTCTTTACTCGTGGTATCCCGCTAGTAGCTCGCGGAGAGTCCGGCACGGGCTAGCTACAGCATGCGGGAGTTGATACATACCCTTCGTTGCGACTTCTTGTGCCTTCAAGATACACAGAGCGAGCGGACGCGGTCGAGGTAAGCCTGTGCTAATTTGCATATTGGCTTGTTCACTTGGTTTTCCCGCCATAACTTTAGAACGCAGTATTTTTACGAAAATCGCCTTTTTTTAAATCAACCCAGTGTAGCACTGAACCCGATCATATCGCTATTTACCTGATTTAGTGCGCGCGGTGGCAGAAAACGTGGTAACAGACAGACTGACAGACTGACTGACGCACTTCCGGAACAACTACCGTTACCCTCGCTGCGCATGCGCGCCGAGGGTTAATGAAAGAGTGCAAACCCTCGGCGAACTGCGCATGCGCGGTACAGCTAATTGATGGGCTGGGCTATTTGTATGCGTTTACTCGTGGTCCCGCTAGTAGCTCGCGTAGACAGTAGTAGATAGCATGCGGGAGTCGATACATGCCATTCGTTGTGACTTCCTGAGCCCCCAGAGTACACAGAGCGAGCCCAGTGCGCTTATGGACATTGGCTTTTTCGCTTGTTTTCACGGTATATCTCTCGAACGCAGTCGTTTCAGGAATTATTTTTCAGGCTCGCGTAGTTCTGAAGCCGCTGGTATCGCTAATAGGCCGCCTCGAAGCCTGTAGTACCAGAATAAGCGTCGACACACACACGCCCTTCGCTGTGGCTTCTTGTGCATCCAAGGTACACAGAGCAAGCGGATGAGGTGAGCCAGCATGTCGCGTTGATCGCGTCTATTTACTCGCATGCGCACGACTAATTGATGGGTTGGGCCACGCTACGTGGTCTGGGACTGTGCCAGTTTTTCGCGCTCGAACGCTGTCGTTTCATAAAAATTGTCATTTTATTCATGCGCTTGTAGCACTCAAGCATTTCGTATCGCTCTTAGACCGCCTCGTATATAGCCTGTAGTGCGAGGATAGTCGTGGACACACACACAGACTAACCCTCGCTGCGCATGCGCGCCGAGGGTTAATAAGCGCTTCAACCAGTTCCGGTGAGAAATGGCGGGTATAGAAGAGGATGAAGAACATGATGACAAACAAGTCGTAAATTACTTAACGGATTCTTTTGAGAAAAAGTGACGCCATAGCTAGACAAGGGCCCTGCTAGTTTTTGCTGGTGTGTTTTAAAGGCTTAGGCGTTCTCGCCGAGTTTTGAGATGTCTAGTATACAGATCACATAAGATTTTGCTTGTGCCATTATGTTGGTTGTTATACCACACTCATTTCAGCATTGCGAAACCAATCTATCATCTGTCTTATTTCTATCCTTGCAAATACATCATTAATCTTTCATTTTCACCTGTTCTGGATCAGGAAGTATGGCTATAGCTAAATAACTATTAAAACTATAACTGAACTAGGTCCTAGGCAACCCTTGTAATGACAATGAGTACAATTACTGGCAACTATGTATATGCCATTTTTCGTAAATTCTTTACCCCACACTGTTTCACTTGGCTTAAGGGTCTACCTTGTTATGTGCTGTACTTTTTAGGCTGATAGAGTTCCTAGACTTCTCGCCTACCATTCTCAGGATGCACCTGTTATTAGCAGACAAATAGTGTCTCACACATTAACATGATAGGAACCTAAAATAAGCAATGTGCAATTGAGCTAAGTTTGTTGTAATAGGTGTAGTTTCTCTGTCTCTGCATTGGTACGCATATAATTATAATGTAGTGGTGGAGGAAAGCTACAATGCCTGCAGGCTTGTAATCTCCCCAAACAGCGTGAACAGCATTTAGAATTATTAGGGGGCCTTCGGGGCTCCACCTTAGTGTATTCATATAGTAGCTCTGCCTCATGCATGTAATATAAGTGAGGTATGAAAGTGCAAAGCAAAAGGTTTACGACACCAAGTTGTTAGAGTTGCCCTGTGTGGATTTCAATTGTCGGTACTCTGCAATCTAGGCAGAGTATTCTACCACATGAGTTACGGGGGTAGCCTCAGTATGGAACAAAGACAGCAGATATTAAGTTACAAAGGATTACTTTGTTCCCTAAATTCTGCTCACTTTGTTCCTAGTATGACATGTGTACTAGGTACTTTGGTCCTTGTCTCTCTATTTCTCATATGGAGTTCCTGCCTCAGGCAGCTCAGGCTCAAAGTTAAACACTCTTTGACTCATTAACCCTTGGGCGTGCATGTGCAGCGAGGTAAGTGGGCATTAAATGTTGTTGCCTCCCTGTGAGAGGAGAGCGTTTGTGAAGTGAGTTCCGTACACATTTTCCAGTGCTGAATGATCAATGGTTCAGTGCCCTTTTCCCGTAATGACTCGAACACATTGACATAAGAGTGATGTTTTCTTTGGGTGGAGAGTAGCTATGCCAGAGAAACCCCAGTTTCCTGTGAAGAATACGTAGCCTCATTGTTGCCCATTTCAATGCAACCGGGGGAATGAGGTTTGAGTAGTGCTTAGGGATGTTTAGTATCTTCTTCCCAAGGTCACCATGAAATTTCTCCAATGTGCCAAGAATGGGTTCTGTGAGTAGCCAACTATCTGAGCCATACAGGCAGACAGGAAGGACACAGACAGACGTCGATCCCATTGATACATGCTCCTGTCCTGAACGACTCCAATTCCACGAGGAGGGAGGCAAAAACTAACAGAAAAAGGAGCGGGGATAAGACAGACCCCTGTTTAACTCCACACGGTTCGTTTAGAAATTGTGCTGAGTGAGTTGACTCAACTCTAACACAGGCTTCCACTTGATCATAATATGCACTGATTACTCGCCAGGCTTTCCTGTCAATGCCTGCTTTGTACAGGTTGTAGAGGAGTACGTTGTGCTCTATAGAGTCAAATGCTTTCTCCAGGTCGTAAAAGCATTTAAATATCTTCAAACCACTGTCAATATAGGCTTTTATCACCTCTTGTACAGCTTCTGTTGCGTCACAGCAAGATATACAAGCCTGGTATGCTGTCTGAGTGTAATGAGGGATCCCCTTCTCTATCAGGGAGTCATTCTGAGAAGGATGACACGCTCAAGGACCTTGCCTTATGACTGATGATAGAGAAATCCCTCTGTACTTTTCAGCTAGGAGGGGATCTCTGCCCTTGCCCTTGTAAATAGGGACAATGACAGCCTGATGGTATTCGCTCAAGATGAATAGTCTCGTTAAAGATCTTCTTCAGCTACAGAATGAGGAAAATTCGTCGCCATAGATGATGTGCTCAGGCAGTGTCCTGTGTGGACCACGTGGCTTTCCCTTTCTCAGCGTTTTAATGATCCCTTTGATTTCCTCTATGGTGATGTCACGAAATCATTGTTTTGGAAGGAGGCGAGCCTATATATAGGTTAGATGCGGAGTCGAGGTGACTACGCGTGGTAGAGTGCCGAGGGCTCCCGAGCTGTCGGCGTCCCGAGCGCAGCGAGGGCGCTACTAGGGAGCCCGAGGCACTCTACCGCGCGTAGTTACCGTGGCGACGCGTCTAACCGGTTTAGATCCATTCAAACTGTTTGCGAAGATATGGCCGCGCCAGGCGAGCTGTTACTATCTTGTCTAGACCAGGAAGACTCCGAGAAGGAACTCGACATACTCATGCTTGCCGCGAGCCAATCCTCGAACGCTCTGGCAGATACGTGCGCGTAGAGTGGGCGGAGCCCTTTTCCGCGAAGCGCGGCGGACGACGAGGGAATGCTGTAGCTTTCGCCTACCGTTTCTGGCTCGCCGCTCGCTGGTAGCTGAAACCTCGCTCGAGTCTTTCTTCACGCTCTCTCCCCAATAGATCCCGTCGTCCGGGGCAGCGGGATCTACGGAAAATAGATCCCGCGTTTGGCCCAATGAAATTGCGCGATTTAAAATCACCGGGATCTAAAGCTGGGTATGAGTGACTCAGGTTTGGATAGAGCTGGCGACTCTGAAGTCTTTGAGGAACAGAGGTTTTTTAAATGGTGTGCTCATGCATACATGTCTCAATAAACAACTTTGTAGCGAGGTAGAAAGGCAAGGCAAGGTAAAAACAAGTCAACTACACCCAGGACAGCTCTTTCTTTTCAGAGAAAAGAAAAGCTGCCCTGGGTGGCATTCGAACCCACGACACTCTGCAATCTAGGCGAGCGCTCTACCAACTGAGCTACCAGGGCAACTCAGCTGGTAGGAGTTCAAATTACACAGTACACTCTCTCTCAGCTATTGCACAGTATACTCTCACTCAGTATGAGTATTCCATACCAGCAGTGTCTCAGGCCATTGAAAAACCCATTGCACATGACAGTGAGCAAAGAGTGTGATAAGCAACATAACAGCAGGAGTGGTCGGGAGTATATCCTTTGGGGGCTACCCTATCTTAGATATTTGATATTAGTCATAGTCTGTACTTATGCCATATGGCTGAATCATAAGTAAAGCAAAGCAAGTGTAAAGGGGAAAAAATTAACGACACAGTTTTTTTTAAAGAGCTGCCCTTGGTGGACTCAAATTGTCTTCATTCTGTAGTGTGCTCTACCACATGAGCTACAAGGATATATAGCTAATTGTACTCTGTGTAGAATACAGGAATTCGTAACTTAACACGGAGAGCAACTGGATTGCTTTGTCTCTACACTCTGCTGTCACTATTGTTCATAGATGACGTGTATACTCTGTCCTTGTGTCTCTCTTTCTCATACGGAGTTTTTCTGCCTCAGCATGAACAAGGTTAAGTATTATTTCCCTGCAGTTTTGTCAGTTACAGGGAGTATTGAAAGTGTTGAGAGAAGCAATGGAACGTTTATAGTGATTTGCACATCAACTGGAGGTAGACCACTGACAATGTCTATCACTGGACCGTCTGGTGTTGTAGAGGACATGATGAACATTAGTGGAAGGGGAGGTGTGGAGTGGGTAGGTAATGATACTTTCTCAGCAGAGGTTATCAGGACAAATGGAACTCATGGAGATGTGTATGGTTGTATGGCATCTAATGGAGTGTCTAATGCTTCACACAGTTTCTCTCTGAAAGGTTTGTTTATAGTTTAATTGCAGAGGATAATATGAAGTTTTATTCAGTTGCTGGGAGTCCAACTCTACTGTTAGTAATACAGACATCAGCTACATCAGTGATAGTGGAGTGGAGTCAGCCGTCAGGAGGAGCCACAGTGACTGGATATGTAGTACACTACAGTCATGGAGACAGTAAAAATATTATCATTACTGAGTGTAACACGACTGATAACAACACGACTGATAGTAACATGACTGAGAGTGACACAACGGAGAGTAACATAACTGAGTGCAAAAAGACTGACAGTAACACAACTGACAGTAGCATGACTCAAAGTAGCATTACCAACAGTAACTCGACTGATAGTAACATCACTGAGAGTAAGATGACTAAGAGTGTACCTGGATCTTCTACTCATGCTCTGATTACAAATCTCACTAACTGTTATAAGTACACATTTTCTGTTGAAGCTACCTCAGAGCATCTCTCTGGAATGTCAAAGATATTTATTTTGAAACTAGGTATGGAATTACAGGTGATATAATTATTATGTTATTCCCAGACCAATTCGTGTCAGTATCTTTATTACCCCACTTTGTGCTTACTTTCATTGCGGGGTTGTTCTAGTATTACAGATTCTGTGGAAAAAACATTATCCTCCCTCCCTGATTTAGGTACATCAGACCTATCAGTGAATGTCACAGCTGGAGCAGTGAGTTCAACAGTCATCTCAGTCCAATGGGACCACCTGAGAGCCTGCAGTCCAGTCAGTCATCTGTCTGTTAAATTCTCAGTGAAGTACACTGCAGTGTTCAGTGCTGCCTCTGAAATTATAAACGAAATAATTGTATCATCAACTGAAGCAATGCTGACTGGACTCACTCCATACACCAACTACTCCATTACAGTAGCTGTAGTGAATGAGATGGGAAACGTGGGACCATACAGTTACCCCACCACAAATCTAACTTTGGAAGATGGTAGCTAATGTCTAATCTATTATCAGTATACACCTTTCTTATAATGCTGTTTTAGTTCCTGGTCCTGTAGGTGCAGTCACGGCATCTCCCTCTCCGTCTCAAGTTACCCTGACATGGGAGCCACCACTGATGCCTAATGGAATAATCATAGCATATGAGGTTTCCTACAGACAAACAGCTTCCTCAGAGCCTGAGACTAGAGTGAACTCCTCTGCTCTGGCCACTAATTTTACCACAGAGAGCAACCTTGAGGAGGCCACTGAATTCATCTTCTCTGTGAGAGCCTACACCAAAGTGGGACCTGGAAATGCAACCTCTCTTACTGTGGCTACACTAAGTGCTGAGTCAAGTAAGACTGTTTTCTCTCTTAAATTTCTGAAATGATCTAGCTATATCTGCAGTTCTGACTTCAATGAAGACTGCTGTGTTACTTGGAATTGGAAGTGGTGCGGCATTAATTGGAATCATTATTTTTGGAATTGCCATTTCCTGGACTGTATTCAAAAGGTAAAAACCTCATGTAATTTTTGGGAGTTGTAAAATCCTTTTTAGATCACACCGCAGAGCCAAGCGAAGATTGTGCACAGAGGATAACCCAGCCTATGGTGTAACTCTGGGTGTGAGATACAAACCATCAAGAAAGATTGATTCATCACCTACCCATACACAAGAGCCTGTGTATGATACAATCCGTTAGTAACATGACTTCACCTGTCATCATCAATGAATTAAGAAGAGTTACTGTTTCTCTGTGATTTAGGAATGCCATTTTGACTAAAAAAATCCTATCTGTGAAAAAATGCCAACTGCATTCATGTACTTACAGTACAGGCTGAAGCAACTTTGACCATGCAAGTAGGCACGTAAACATAAACCAACAAGCATGACAAAACAACTACGTCAAACCTTACACCACAAAAACGATTGGAACAAAAAGAGGGAGATAGGAACCACCTAAAAGGCAGAGTCTTGGTGCGGTTTTCAATATAACAAGTGAATTAAAAGTTTTTCATTTTAAAAAAAGGTGCGTATAGGGATGGTATAAAAAGCAACAAGACAAGACAGTGATGACCTAGTGTATGTGATGCAGTAGTACAATGGATAATGGCTCCATGTACACTTCAAACTGACATTGCTTGCTCATGGAATTTTTCCTTCAGGTAAGCCCTATATTGTTGCTAAGCATGAGTGTGCTGCCTTGTGTAATGACTCATTTCCTAAGCACATGAGACAAGTAGCTAATCCACAGGTGTTGCACTCTCTGACAGCTCCTCGGTTATTGGCATAGTTTGAGACATCCATGCTCGCTCAACTAACCAGTTGTACAATGCTGCATAGCCCTCTAATGATTGCCTTTGCCAGTCCTCACACTACATCATTCACTTAAAATCATTTCTTCAAAATGAAAGGGGGATATAGGGATGGCTTGAAGCACCAAAAAGGAAGAAACAAGGGGTCATTACACAGCAAAGTTGCACAAAGCTACATGACACCATCCCTATATCTTTGTTTTATTGTTTATAAGCCTCTTTGTTTTAAGCAAAGTTTAATATCGAACAAAGATATAGGGATGGTGTCATGTAGCTTTGTGCAACTTTGCTGTGTAATGACCCCTTGTTTCTTCCTTTTTGGTGCTTCAAGCCATCCCTATCCCCCTTTCATTTTGAAGAAATGATTTTTCCACTTGTATTACTATATTTATGCAATTGCATCGAGTGTGACAGTTGT